GAGCTCTGTTAGAATATGTCTGTAGAGACTCTTACTCTTACCAATTCTGGAAGTATAAGTATTTCTTTGGTAATTTCTTGAGTCACATTTAAGGTAAATAATATCTGGAATCCCTCAGTGGCACAGTTGATTAGAGTAAAGGATTATTAGTCAGAAGGGTTTGATTTGAGCCCACTCAGAGAAAATCTCAAAACCATGAAAACCCTGTGGAACAGTTCTCTGCACACATGAAGTTGTATGAGTTGGAGTTGACTCAGTGATGACTAATAAGAAGAGTCTGATATCTAGATTATCAGTCATTTAATCATGTTTAGGAACTGGAGGGAATCTTGTGTGGGAATAGATATTAGCTGTTTAATTGGTAGGAATTATCTTGCAAAGAATAACAAAATATCAATTACAAATTAGAATTTAGGAAAAGATTATGGCAATGTTATAGTAAACGAAGAATAAATAAAGTTAATTTTCTTTTAAGCTATGTTACATTCAGTTTATTTTTTACTATTTTTTCCCTCTACAGTTTTACACAACTATTCTAAATTTTTATTAATTTCCTAATTTAAATCTTATAGTTAGTGTATGTTATATATTCTATCACTGTATTCATCTATAAAGGATATGAAGGCAGATCCTCTGTCAAAGAGGATCATAACTTCTTCATTATCTTTGTTACAAGGCCATTGCTTGTACAAGAACATAGATTAGTGCTTTTGGGTTTTATTCAATATTGATAAGCAAACATATATTTATAAGGGTTTTTTAAAAACAGGTTTTTAAAATTTTTTTTATTTTATTGTGTGTGTGTGTGTGTGTGTGTGTGTGTGCGCGCGTGCACGCGTGTGTGTGTACCATCAAATCAGATCTGACTGGTACAGTAGGAAATTGTTCCTCCTTCTCCAGAAGAGCATCTGGTGGATTTGAACTGCCCACCTCTGGGATTGTAGTACACCTTCTTGCCATTAGGCCACCAGAGCTCGCCAGACGTTCTTTTTTTTTTCTCTCATTATTTAAAACAGTTTAAGTGGCATAGACCTTTTTAGAACTCAGAGGTGGGAAAAACTTCATCTGGTATCAGGAGTCTCATTATTTTATTCATTCTCTTAATAATATTAAGTTTTATTACTGTCATTTTTATTCTTTTTCCCTCACTTTTCCTTATTATATATTAATATTTTACAATGAACAGTTTATACTTAATAGTTTTCTTGCTTGTTGATGCTTCCTATGTTAATTAGTAGAATAAAGAATAGGTAAAAATATCAAACTCATAAACTAAAAAAATAATAGAGAACGGGAATCCTAGAATACTTAATTGTGCTTATAAAGAATCTACACCTACACGAAGAAGCTGTTGTGCAAATGGAGCAAGGGAACACTGCATGGTTTAAGATGAGGAAGGATATGCATCAGGGTTATATCCTTTCTCTATACCTGTTCAGTCTGAATGCTAAGCATATAATTTGTAAAGCCAGACTTTATGAAGAAGGATGTAGAAAATCAGGATTGGAGAAAGACTCATCAACAACTTGTGTTAGGCTGATGACATAACTTTGCTTGCTGAAAGTTAGAAGGATATGAAACACTTGCTGGAGAAGATCAAGGACTATAGCCTTCTGCTGGGGACCACTTACTCTGTTTCTCAGGGGGAAATTATGCCTGGAAGAAATGAATAAATAAAGACACAAGAAGCCAACAACTTACAGAGACAAAACAGCACAGGACAGGACCGGCCAGACAGGATGGAATTGGACCCTCCTGGGCAGCTGTGTAATCTTTATTTATACCTTTTGGAAACAAAGAGATGGTTCACAGAGAAGTAGAAACTTTAAGGGTTACATTATAGAGTCCAGGCAGGCTGGGTATAAAACATTAAGATTACCATAGTGCTTAAGTGGGCTGAGTTACATAGTTAGATACATTCAACCAAGACTTCTTTGTATTCATAAACTGTGCTTTCTCTCATCTTGCAACAACCTTATCAAGAGCAGGAATAATAATGAAGTCAGTGTCTAAAGATGTATGAAAACCACTTGCAATCTTCTCAGAGCACCTTGTGAGATCTGCTTGCAGTCTTCTTTCTGAAGACACCTTCTGTGTGCAAGGTACACAGCCATATTCTTAAGATGAATTCCTTTACATTCCTTTATTCTGTGGTCCTCTATACCTTCAGTATGGATTACATCACAACATCAAAACAAAGATCCTCACCACGGGCCCAACAGTCAACATTATAATAGATGAAGAAAAGATTAAAGCTATCAATGATTTCATCTTCCTTGGATCAGTAATACCCTTGGTACTAGCAATCAGGAAATCAGGAGACATACTGTACTGGGCAAGTCGGCTATGCTGTCAGGGACCGCTCCAAAATACTGAAGAGCAATGATGCCAGTTTGAAGACTAAGGTGCGCCTGATTCAGGCCATGGTCTTCTCAGTCTCCTAGTATGTGTCAGAGAGTTAAACAGTGAATAAAGATGACACAAGAATAACTGATGCCTTTGAGCTGTGGTGCTGGAGAAGGGTACTTGAGTAGTCCATGTACTGCCAAAAGAACAAATAGATAGATTCTGGAAAAGGGTGTGGCCAGAATGCTTCTTGGGGCCAACGATGACAAATAGGTAGGTGAAACTATTCGTTGGAAAGCGGCATAATGATTGGAAAGATGGAGAGTCAGCAAAGGAGAGGAAAACCCTCAATGAGATGGATTGACACTGACTTCAGCAGTGGGCTTCAGTGTCCATGAGATGCTAAAGATGGCACACAATAGGGCAGGTTTCAGGCTGGCTGTTCATAGGCTAACTATGAGTCATACTTGACAGCACTAATAACAACAACCTTCTTAATGTAGGTAAGACTTAATTTTTAGAAAGCATGTCTTTAATAATTACTAAAATTATTTCAGTTGTTATTAGGTGTCATTGCATTAACCATTACTCATAGCAATCCTTTAAACAACAAATTAAAATCTTGCTCTGTTCAGGCTGTAGTCTTCACAGTTTCATGCATGCTAAAATAAACATCAGGGAGCTGAACAGTGACTAAGGATGACAGAAGAAGAATTGATGCTTTTGAGGTGTGGTGCTGTAGAAGAGTCCTGAACAAACCATGGATTCACAGGAGAAAAAAAATAAGTCTGTGTGGGAGAGGGTGAAACCAAGTTCCTCTTTGAAGGCAAGGATTTTGAAGCTCTGTCTCACATATTTTGGGCACATGACCAGCAGGTACCCATCCTTGGAGAAGGACTTCATGCTTGGAAGGGTGGAGGGACAGTGCAAGACAGGAAGACCCTGGATGAGATGGATTGACACAATAACCGAGGCAATGGGGATTAGATGTGCTAGAGTCAGTGACACTGGCTCATGAAAGGGCAGGCATCAGGGCTGTTTTATATTTGGTCACCAGGAGCTGTAGTTGACTCAGCAGCACATAACAGCAACAATCCTGCACTAGTCTCACAATATCTGTCATTAGTACAGTCACTGTGTTGGTCTGTCTTGTTCAAGGCTTTCTTCTCTTTCACTGACCCTCTACCTTTCCCAGCTTAATATCTTTTTTCAAAGACTGGCCCCACTGGTCAAAATTCCTAAAGGATGTGAGAAAGTTTCACTATCTTGAAGTTTTATTATCACTTCCTCTAAGACAGACTTGTCTTTTGGCAGTCCATGATACATTCTTTGCCAGCACCACAGTTAAAAGGCATCAATTCTTCTTCAGTTATGCTTAGTAATTGTTTGATTTTCAGATGCATGGAAAGCGGTTAAAAAAGAATCATGGCACAACTTAGTCTTTAAACTGATATTCTAGTACTTTGGAGAAGTCCTTTACAGTAGATTTGCCCAATGCAACACATCTTTTTTATTTCCTGACTCTTTTTACCATGGGATGTTGATTATAAATCCAAGTAAAATGAAATCCTTGACTACATCAATCTCTTCCTGTGCTCTTTACAGCCTCTGACAGCCCAGTGGATAGTTAATTATGAATCACTTTCAACTCAATGGTACATAACAACATATAAATTAAGTTTCTGGTAGACAGAATTATTCACCTGAGAACTCTCTGTGGCTTTCTGTAGCCATTTAAAAAAATTATTATTCTTTTGTGTTTGTGTGTGTGTGTGTGTGTGTGTGTGTACCGTCTAATTGAATCTGACTGGTACAGGAAGAGATTGTGCCTCCTTCTCCAGCAGAGCATCTGGTGGATTCAAACCACGCACCTCTGGGATTGCAGTGCAGCTTCTTGCCACTAGGCCACCAGAGATCACCTGTGTAGCCTTTTTGTTAATAAAGAATAATAAATACGATTATGGCTTTCATTAGCTTTGACCAAAATGGAGGAATTGCTACGGCAGAAGATATTACTAATTTGCTAGATATTATAGTCCTCTTCTCTTTTTGATGAACATAATTAGTTAATCTGTAATCGAGAGTCAAAATGTAGTGGTTTTTAAAAACAGCTTATTTCATTTTGTTGTTGAGAATACATAGCCAATATATATGCCAGTTCATTTCTGTATGTCTGAATTCACTGGCATTGTCATTAATTGTATTTTTTAGTTGTTCAGCCATTTTTGCCCTGCTTTTCTGAGTTTTCTCCCCCATTGAAAAAACCTCACTGTTCCCTAAGTTCTTGTCTAATCTTTCTTCATGTTGTCAACTTGCTCTAATATAATTCTCCAAAGAGCATAATATTCAAGTTAAATCAAAGTATTATTTGGTTTTAGGAAGACTTTTGGGTACATTTTAGGTTTAAAATTTAAAGATTATACTTTGGGGAATTCATCAGCCTCAGTGGCTTCAGACATTCTAGATCCAATGAGAATCTGAAATAAAATTTCATGTTTTACTACTGTCCAATTCATAGTACTGAAACTTTCCTCCAAATGTTCATCAGAAGGATAAGCTAGGAGGTATAGTGTACCTTCTAAAATTAATAATTAAATTATTTTAAATTCTTTTTTAAAGCTTAAACAAAGATTTGTTTTTTTCTTCCCTGCCAGGCATGTCCATTTATCATTGATATCTATGCAGAAAAATGCAAGCCAAAAATTAAAGCTGTCCATCTGGAGGCATGCAGTGGGCAACTTGAAAAGGCTATTTGTAAATCTGTCCTTAATAAAGGCAATGCTAGAGTAATGAATGGCTATGAAAATATAATTGTTCATACCTACAAGTGTGACACCTGGATAACATCAGTTATTGAAAACAAGGTATCAATTATAAGTTTTTTCATATTTCTTTATAATGATTGCCAGTGTTGCATCTTTATTTTTACTCTATTCTTGTCTGGTAATTAAATGTACTACTTCATTACTGATGTTTATAATAGGCAATTGTCTTTCTCCTCTGGTTTATAATTCAAACTGTAGATAATAATAATATTTACATACAATTTTTAAAGCCTTAAAGATAATTGTTTTTTCTTAAAATTTTGTAAAAATTAAGTATTTGGACATCTATGAAGACAGAATATAATTTGGGTACAAAGTGTTTTCGTTCATTACTGAATACATTAACATGTGCATAGCTATTTCAACTGAGAAATACTGTATTTTAAATAATTATTATAAACAAATAAATTTAGTATAGTTTTTATACCAGCTTTATAAAATTCTATAGATTATCATAATTTTATATAGTTGAGTATATTCCGCTGTCAAGGACTTATTTTTATCAAGCCAGTTATTTTTAGCTTGGCCATAAGCTGTTACTTAGTGGTATTACAAGGTCAGAAGACCTTGCATAAATACTTCTTGAAATAACTGTAACAATACATTGAAAGAGAACTACCAGAAATACAAGCTGGGTTTAGAAGCGGTCACTGGAGCCATTATCGCCAATATCAATATGGATCTTGACAGAAAGCAGAATACCAGAGAGGTACCTATCTGTGTTTCATTAACTATGCAAGGGTGTTGACTGTGTGGATCACAACAAATTGTGGCTAACTTTGAGGAGACTGGGAATCCCAGAACACTTGTTTGTGGATATATGAAACCTATGCATACTTAGACCAGGAAGCAGTCCTCAGAACAGAGCAGGGAAACACTGCATGGTTCAACATCAGGAAGGGAGTACTTCAGGGATGCATCCTGTCTCCATACTTTTTCAATCTATATGCAGAACAGATCATTTGGGAGGCTGGGCTTTATGAGGAAGAATGTGGTGTCAAGATTGGAGGAAGACTCATCTACAACCTACATGCAGATGACACAATATTGCTTCCTGAAACTGAAGAATTGCTTGCTGTAGAAGGTCAAGGACTGTAATCTTCAGTATGGATTAAAATGCACTATCAAGAAGACAAACATTCTCTCCACTGGGCCAACTGGTAGCACCATAATAGATGGAGAAGAGATTGAGGTTATTAACAGTTACAGCTTGCTCAGCTCCACAATCAACACTCTTGGTACCAGCAGTCGGGAGATCAAAGGACAAGTTGCACTAGGGATATCTGCTGTCTCCAGAGTGCTGAGAAGCAATGATGTCAGACTAGAGACTAAAGTACACCTGATCCATCCAGACCATAGTCTTCGCTTGCTATGCATCAGAGAGCTGGACAGTGACTAAGGATGATAGAAGAAGTGATGCCTTTGCATTGTGGTGCTAAAGAAGAGTCTTGAACATACCATGGATTGCCACGAAAACAAACAGGTGTGTCTTGGAGAGGATGAAACCAAGTTTCCCCTTGGAGGCTAGGATTTTGAAGCTCCATCTCACATACTTTGGGCCAGGAGGGACCAGTCCTTAGAGAAGGAAATCATGCTTGGAAGGGTGGAGGGACAGCACAGGAGAGGAAGACTCCAGCTGACATGGATTGACACAGTAATTGGGGCAATAGGAGTGTCAGAGTCAGTGAGACTGGCTCCGGACAGGGCAGGCTTCAGAGCTGTTGTACATAGGGTCACTATGAGTAGCAGGTGACTCAATGACACAGATCAAGAAGAAGAAGAGATATCCAGTTCTCTTGAAACTAACAATTTTTTACCTAACCTAATACAGCTTCATCTTGCTTGGATTCACAATTAACACCATTAGTACAAGAAGTCAGAAAATAAGAAGATTCATTGCTCTGGGAAAATCTGCAGGGACCTTTCCAAAATATTGAGGAGTAGTGATGTCAGTTTAAGGACTAAAGTGCATCTGATTCAGGCCATAGTCTTTCTGATTACTAGCTATACATCAGAGACCTGGACAATGAATAAGGATAACAGAAGAAAGAAAAAAATTTGATGCCTTTGAGTTGTGTTGCAGAAGAGCAGTGGACATTCCATGGATGGCCAAGCGAACGAACAATTGGTAGCATCATGATTGATGGAGAAGAGATTGCTAACAATTTCAGCTTACTCAGTTCCACAATCAACATTCTTGACACCGGCAGTAAAGAAATTAAAAGACAGATTGTCTTAGGGAAATCTGCTGTCAGGGACTTCTTTTGAGAGCTGAAGAGCAAGGATATCTGTCTAGAGATTAAAGTGGCCCTGATTCAGGCCATGGTCATTGCAATTACTTTCCGTCCATCAGAAAGCTGGACAATAACTAATATTGACAAAAGAAGAAGTCTTTGGTTGTGGTTCTGGAGAAGATGGAGGGTCAGCAAAGGAGAGGGAGACCCTCATCCAGGTGGATTGACATGGTGACTGCTACAATGGCCTCTTGTGTGTCAGAAAATATGAGAATAGTGCTTCAGATCTTTTGTTCATAGGGTCTCTGTGAGTTGTGCTTGACTTCATGGCACCTAACAAACAACAATACATGATGACTGGAATTTTAGGACTGTAGTACTTCTTTTAATTCTTGAGTGAAACATATTCTTGTTAGCCTTAAACTTCAGGTCAACCATCTTTCCAAGTATCATGTCCCTCTCCAAGGAAGAGCCCATCCTAGCAACATGCCTGATGGATGTAAGGTGAAGCCTCATGATCCTTGCCTCCAAAGAGCACTCTGGCTGAACCCTCCCCAAGACATATCTATTAGTTTGTTTGGCCATCCATGGAATGTTCAGTGCTCTTCTCCAACACAACTCACAATTTCTGACACACTCAGAATGCAGCAGTCACTTTGTCAGTCCTCTTCATAGAGGGTCTTTCTCTTTTTTGCTTCTTGGTCTATGTAGAGGTTTTTCATTGGCACAAGTAAGGGTTGTGAGATTCTCAATGTTAGCCATAATTTTTTATGATCCACATAATCAAATACCTCTTTATAATCAATAAAGCACAAGTAAACTTAAAAAAAAATTCCCTGATTTTAGCCAAGATCCACTTGATGTCAACAATGATATCCTTTGTGCCATGACCTCTTCTGAATCCAGCTCATATTTCTGGCAGTTTTCTGTCAATGTACTGTTCTAGCCATATTTTAATAATCTTCAACAAAATTTTGCTTACATGTGATAACAATGCTATTGTTTGATAATTTTCACATTCTGTTGGATCACCTTTGTTTGGGAATGGGAACAAATATGGACTTCTTCCAGTCAATAGTCCAGGTAGCTGTTTTCCCTATTTATTGGCAAATACTAGTAGTACGTGCAGGGTTACATTTGTTTCCTAAAATATCTCAACTGGTATTCCATCAGTTCCTGTGAATTTGTTTTTTTTGCCAATATCTCTAATGTAGCCTGAACTTCTTCCTTCAGTAGTATTGGTTCTTGATCATATGCTACTTCCTGGATTCTTTTTGGTACAGTGATTCTTTATTCCTTCTATTTTATTTTTATGCTTCCAACATCATTCAAGATTTAGCCCATTGAATGTATTAGTGTTGCTACTTAAGGTTTGAATTTGTTCCTTGTTCTTTCAGCTTGACAAATGGCAAACATGTTCTTCTTTTTTGGTTTTCTAACTCCAGCTCTATTGCACATTTTATTATATTACTTTACTTTGTCTTCTCAAGCTGCCCTTTGAAATCTTTTGTTCAGCTCTCTTACCTCAGCATTCCTTCTGGTTTTTGTTTCCGTTTTTTTGGAGTATTTTTCCTCCCAGTACAAGTTTCAGAGTCTTCTGGCATCCATTTTGGTCTTTTCTTTTCCCCCCTGAATTTATAATTACCATTTGCTTGCTTCATGGGTAGTGTCCTTGATGTTATCCCAGAACTCATCTGTTCTGTCTTTAGTGTTCAGTGCTTCAAATCTAGTCTTAAGATTCTTTTTTAATTCAGTTAGGATACACTCAAGGTCATATTTTGGTCCTCATGGTCTTAAGTTTCTTTAGTCAGTTTGGAATTGGATATAAGTACTTGATGGTTTGTTCCACAGCCGACCCCTGACCTGGTTTTGACTGTTGATACTGAGCTTTCCCAGTGTCTCTTTCCACAGATGTAGTCAGTCTGATTCTTGTATAATCCATCAGTGATGTTCATGTGTGTAGTTTCCACTTGTTTGGTGTGGTTTTTTCAAAGTGTTTGCAATGAATAAATCCTCATCGTGCAGAATTCTCTTATGTGATCTCAAGCATCATTTCTATCACCAAGACCATAATTTCTAAATACCAGACCTTTGTACACAACTTCTGTATCCTAGACACCAATTATTATTAATGCATCCTGATTTCATTTAAATTTTAATCAGTTTCAAATCATTCAAATTCAATCAACTTCAGATTATAAAAGTTGGTGTAAATACTCATCATTAAAGAGGAATTACAGATTCTTTGGAAGGGGATTTGATTACTATATTTCTCCCATTCATCAGCTTTTCTTCTCATTTCTCTTCTTAACAATTCTGTAATAGTGTCACTCCTAGAAAATTTCCTTTGCTATCTCATTCTGAATTAATGTTAATTTTCTATGTTTCTGTAGAATCATGTGACCACCGCAGGAGTTTACAAAATATTTTGTCATTTTATTTGTCTAATTCCTCTGAACTGTGAGCTAACGTTATCCTGGAGGGTCTCACTGTCTTGCAAGCTTAGAACAATGCTGACATAATTGGTACTAAATAGATTTATGCTTAAAGAAAGAGTGGACTACTAACACAATAAAATGGATATTTTAGACATATTATTTGAAGGATGAAATGAAGGTTGATTAGAGAATGAAAGAACTAAAGATAGAGTAAAAGCAATAGAAACTGTTGCTGTGCACCAAGGATGAGGTGATATATTTCTATTATCAATATGAACTGGGAATATGTATTTAGAAGTGACCCTAAGTCACATATGAAAGAAAAAGCTTATATAATTGGTAACAGATCTAAAAGAATGAAAAGAGGAAAAAATTACAGTTAAAAAGTTGGAGGAGGATCCAATTTGAGTGTACAAATTTGTAGGAGACTCTATGATATTAAAAGAGAATTCTAAAGCTTTTTTTTTACATTCAAATAATATCCTTCTACTTTATTTTTAGTCTATCCAATTTTCCTTTTTTTTTAATTGTGATTTTAACAAGTTAACAGAAAAGTTGAATTTTCATTCATTATTACATATTTTCCTCTCTACCTCCCTAGTTCATTATTTCCCCAAAATATTCATTCATTGTTGCATAATTTCTTCCCTGCCCTCCAAATCCTCATCGCATCCACTTTGCTATGCACCTCTTATTCTGGATGATAACCCTGGAGGATACTATGCTGAGTGAAGTATCTCAGTTACCAAAGGATAAATATTGCATAACACCACTATTTTAAAACAGGACTGACCTGTGGGTTGGGGAGAAACTGAGAAAATGGGATAAATAATGAACATTGCACTGGGATAGATGAAGGAAAGAATTGTTTAAAAGGAATATATGATTAGGCCAAAGTTTATTCTTAAGATAGTATTTGTGTTAAAGTAAGGACTAGCAAGTTATTATTCTTTTTTTATAGTCAGAAAATAAAGTGATTATTCACATCAACAATGAACTAAGTAAAAACTGCATAAACAACAGAGGACTGAACATATTTGCAGTAGAAGTGGCACCAAAATCCACAATGGTAATATATTACTTTCTAATTAAAGCCTTTCAGTTTTGTCTTTGCAAAAATATTTTTTACTATTATGTTATAAATAAGCATGTAGATATGAAATGAAGTGGAAAGCTATTTTATGTGTAATTATCTGAACCACTAATGATACTTATACTAGTATTATCACCATGAGTTGAAACCAAGTCGACGGCACCTAACAACAGCAGCAACGTATAGATAGGAAACTCAAGTTTTATTACAATTTGATTGACTAACTCTGGGAAATTCACTTAACCACTCTCTTCCAGTTTCTTGAAATGTAAAATTAAGATTATATCACTAGCTTTATGTACTTCACAAGGTTAATGTAAAGTTAAAAATAAGATTGTATGTATAGAAGCATTTTGAACATTATACAGAAATACAAAGATGTGTCAATAGTAGTAGAAACATGAAGAGGAGGAGCCCTAATGGTGCTCTGATGGATTGTTTACCTGCTTACTAAAGGGTCAGAAATTCAAATTCACTTGCTGCTCCACAGAATAAAAAACATAGACTCCTATGAAAATTACAGACTAGGAAACTCTACTGCATAGTACCATCATACAAAACTGATGAGTAAGACTCAACTTTATGGTATACAATAAAAACAATACCCTGTTAAGAGTTCCAGAATAACCTGAGAGAGAAAATGCTTCTGAGTTTTTGTTAACTAACTCAAGAAAGAGCCAGTAAGAGTTGTAGTTCTAGTTTGGCTAGGAATTCAGAGGCAGAGATCCTGAATCCATTCTAAAACAGGGGGAAAGATGGAGGTGTGGGATCTATTTTTATCCCTTTTTTCTTCTGTTGTTTTATACCATCCAGTCAGAATTGACTGACCCTCCAGCAGGTTTTCAGAGTCAGTAAATTCCACAGGAGGAGACTGTCCATCTTTCTCTCTCGAAACAGCTGGTAGAGCCAAACCACAAGCCTTTAGATGGAGTTTGTCTTTTTCTTCCTAACAGAGCTTGGAAATTTAAAACATTCTAGGGCAAGATAAAAGATGTTATATGAAACACAATGTGAACTTTGTAAGCAAACTAATTAAAAAATTAAGAAAAAAGTATATCTCTTTTATTTTTCCAGTTAGGATTTTAAAAAATGCTCTAACTTTAGTAAAAGGAAAGGACGTTCTACTCCTTTTTCCACTACTCATCTTTATATTGTTGTGTTGTTTATTACCTTCTAGTTGAGCATGACTCATAGGGACCCTATGAACAAAAGACCTGAAGCCCTTCTATAACTATCCACATTTATCAAAGTTCGTAGAGTTTCCAGAGGTATGTTGTTTAGGAAGTGGATGCTACTCCTTCTTCCATTTAAACCAACCCACCGCTATCAAGTTGATACCAACTCATAGTGTCTCTACTGGACAGAGTGAAACTACATTGTAGGATTTTAATGATTGTATATCTCTAGGAATATATATTGCCACACTTTTCTCTGGTGGAGCGCCTAATGGGCTTGATTCTCTGACGTTTAGGTTTAGCAGCCAAAAGCTTTAACAACTATTATGCCACTGACTCCTACACACTCCTTGAGTCTAGTGACTCAATGTAAGGATTTATGCTGCCAACTCCGCAGCAGTTTCTTGGGAGAAAGATGTACATTTTCCTCCTGTTGGTCTTACTGCCTCTGAAAACTCACTGGAGAGTGAGCTATTAGTTGGTGCCGATTTGACAGTATATAACAACAACAAATCAAGGTAGAATTTGATTTAAGATGTCCGCTTAGACATCAGATCATATATTGAGTTACTGCTAATGTCAAATATTACAGGATTTTATATGTATAGTTATTTTTTATACAGGATCTAGAAATGTCTTACTGAAAAATTATCCAAAAATGACAAGATATATAAAAGTTAAAGCTTTCTGTTTTTATATGCAGGTTTGTCAACATGTAATGCCTCTGAATGAACAAGAAGAATGGGTATATAATTGTGCGTATTCTCTTGTATCTTAAATATTGCATTTAGGAAATAATTTAATTTGGAATTATCAAACTAAGCTTATTTTAGTTTTATTCCATTATCTACTTACCAATTACATACTAATCAACTTAACTGATGTACATAAATAATAATGTAGTTTGTAAGCATTTATTTCCATATTGTACAATTTATTATTAAAATACAAATACTGCTTTTTAATGTATGACCTTTTTTAAACTTTTTTTATTTTAATGAAAGTTTACATAGACTTTGGATTTCCATTCATTCACTGTTGCACTTTTCTCCCTGCCAACCCCTCCCCCAATTTACTTTTCTTTTTGAAAAGTAAAAGAAAAAAATTCTTTGTTATTCAATCCCGCCCTCCAAGTCCACTCCACTATACTACTTTGTTCTGAACTCATGTCATAACAATACTATCTAATCATATATCCCTTCTAAACAGTTCTCCCCCTCATCTGTTTCAATGCAGTAGTGTATGACCTTTTTAAGTTGAACTGGGGAAATTTAAACACAATTTGTTTAGTAATTCCAAATGAAATGACAAACTTTAAAAAATATTAATATTCAATAAACCCTACAAATTCCTATTCACTGTTGGTTTATCTTACTAATTAAAATAAAATCTGAAAGAAAATATTAATTTAAATGCAAAAATAGTAATATCACTATATGTTTAATTCACCATGTGTTTAATAGGGAGTTCTGGTGGTCTGAATCCACTAGCAGAAAAATGGGCATTCTCCCCCTGTGCACTTTACAGCCTCTGAAAATCTGCTAAAGGGTCAGCTGTAAGTCCATTCCTACTCCACAGCAATGAGCACTCACTTTCAGGGGTATTCTGTGTTAACAGTTCTATTTTTCTAATTAGTAGAGAAGAGGAATATACAATTATTTTTATAGTGAATGAAAACTCAAAGGAATCACCTAAATAATGAATACAAATTTAATTACATTTTTGGAGTCTGTAAATAATTTTCTAAGGGAGGTCTGGTGGCCTTAGCGGCAAGAAGCTGCGCTGCAATCCCGAAGGCATGTGGTTTGAGGCCACAAGGTGCTCCACGGGAGTAGGATGGGCAGACTCCTCCCGTGTGATTAACTGCCTCTGAAAACCCACTGGAGGGTCGGCTATGGGTCAGTTCCGACTCTGTGGTACACAAACAACAACAACAAGAAGGATTACTGTAGAAAGGTAGGTGATTTTAATCTGTGGCCTTCAGGCCTGGTTTTAATTTTTTTTGGTCAAACATCCTTCTAAGTGGGATAGCACTGGTCTGCCCATTTGCTGTACAGAGGTAACTCGTGGTTTCTGTGATGCTGAACACTGTGACACTAATGTGGCAAATACGATAATGGTTACCCATGACGGACAGTGTTTAGTGGAGCTTCCCGATTAAATCAAGCTTGGAAGGAGGAGTGGCATCCACTTCCAAAATGGTTTGCCCCTGGAAACTCTATGAACGTAGAGAAACGACTAAAATTATTCAAGTGTTTGGGTCTTTCGTTCATAGGGTCACTATGAATCGTCTACGACTCGACAGCACTTAACAACAGCAGCATCAACAACAACGTAGCGTTATACCCCTTTTCTCTTACCCCATTTCTCAGCAAATTTATAACTTTTTCCCCCAAGAATCCTTGCCTCATACCACTTGGTATATACATGCACTCATTATGCTGCATTATTTGTATTCCTCACAAAGGTAAAAGCAGAAATAATTGTAACCCCCACATTTGTCAGAGAAAGTATAAAAAATGTGGAATAAATATGTGTTGGATGGTAAAGTAGGCATAAAATGTAAATAAACAAACTTAAATACAGTATAATATTCCTGATTTTAAGGATATTTATAAATTAAAATTAGTACATAAAAATTTAAAAATCTATTACTAAATTCCATTTACCTAGCCTTTGTTTTTCATTTCTTTAACCAACTAAAACAAAATGAAACTAATTTCATTTTTCCACTGACTATAATGTGCAGTTTTAAATAGGAAGAGAATAGACTAGATTAG